GAATCAGAAACCAATAAATAAGGAAAATTCTGCATGTTTTCACCTTCTCCACAGTTTTTAAATGCATCATGTGGGACTTTTAGTTTTGTCTAGAAATTTAATCAAACCTAAGCTTAAAATCCTGATATTTCATGAAATTCAAAAGCTCCTCATCTCGTACGTGGTTTAAAAGGAATGTTTGTTTTTTAAAAAGCCAGAAATGACACCATTTATCAGGCAGGAACTGTAAAAGCAGCCCTTGAACTTTACTTTACTCTTATTTTTTCAAACGTGTGATATTTTTTCACACTGACGTCGTCCTGAAGGTCTCGTTTAAAAACGAACCGAAAACAAACTGTGTGAAAAAACAGCTCTTGTTTAAAAAAAATAAAAAATAAAAAATCTGCAAAAACAGAAGCGGTTTGTTTTAGTCACATTCTAATAAAAACTAAAAATTTTCCAATTTCTCGTCACAGTCGTGAAGCCGTGAGCGACTCAACCGTCAGTTATCCGACAAAAATACGGGAACTTTTCAGCTGAACTGTGTTTATGCAGAGCTGACGGGAAACAAGGACAGAAATAAACATAAAAACAAAACAGTAAAGTATCTACAGAATGTAGAGTCCAGCATCAGTAACACGTCTAAGTCCTAAAATACCAACCGTATGCAGAGTGGCCTTTTTGCCAGTGTTTGTAATCCTCAGATGTATTCGCATCCTTCCATTAAATAAAAGGCAAAACTCACAACAGTCACTCAAACAACTAGAAACTGGAAAAAATAATAATAAATAAAAATTTGCTAAATTATAATTTAGTGAAATAAGACGTTGCTTTTGAATTGTGGTTGAAAAGAATCATTTAAAAAACCAAAAACCAAACACTGTCCCACACACATTTATTAGTTTACGGGTCCAATCATGCTTTTTTTTGTTTGTTTGTTTGTTTTTAAATATATTTCTGTTGAACCACAATTCAAAACCAATGTCATGATTATTTTCATTAAATTTGTATTTATTATCACTTTTGTCATTTTCAGCTTATTCCAGTTGTTTCCTTCTTTAACAGGAGCGTTTGAATCAATCTGAGGACGACTGTATCTGTGGGAAACTGTTCTATTCCACGTTTTATTTATTCTTTAAAAATAAATAATGAAAAATTCCACCTTCATTTGTTCCTTAATGGTGATTAACGGCATAACAAGTGTGTCGTACTGCACAGAAGACGATTCATATTGAACACACAGTGAGTGAAGACGACCAGAAGTTCTACGTTTACCACCAAACCGCCGTCGGCGTCTCTGAGCCCAACGTCCCGCCGACCTCCAGCACCGGTAATCGGGTTTTTCAAAGGGCTCCCGGGTGTCTCTCGCTGTGATTTGAAATGTGCATCGTACAGAACAAACGGCGAGCATCCGTTCAGATCCTCTCCCGTATCTAATATCGTCACATCCAGCCCTCTCCGGCCGGATTTAAAACATATTCGCAGGCGGTTTGAAATGCAATTCATATCCAATACCTGCAAATGCAACTCGGCTCAACCGCTCGGATCAGATTTCAGGAGCTGCTTCTTCTTCTTCTTCTTTTTTTTTTGCGTCACTCCCCACAGGACGAGTGTTTCTCAGAGCAGGAAGCAAAGAGAAAAAGATGTGGAGGAGATTGAAACCCACGTCGCTGTCAGCTCCTCAAACTCTAAAATAACTACGACCGGCTGGAGGAAACTCATCCTGGCTGCTGGTTAGCCTCAGACCTCCACCTCCACCTCCACACCGATATGAAACGACCCGTTAAGGAGCAGGGCCACCGCTTCACTCAGCAATGTCATTTTTTTTAATGAGCGTGACATTTGTTTGGGCTTTGAAATGATGAGGAGATGAAAAGCAGCAGGATCTGGCTGGACTTTGAGTCTCCCTGCAGATGAAGCGTTTTCTCATTTATCCGTTTTATCCTCGTCCCGTAACTACATCTATAGAAACACATCGACGTTAGCCAATCCATCAGCCCGCCTTCAAAGTGGAATAGAAGAATAAAAAAAAGTGCTTTGGGTAGAATTTAATGTGTAAAAATGCAAAGAAAAGCAGAATAAATATCGACAGCATGAAAGAGGAACGAAAGAATTAAATAAACTCCATCAGCAAAACCCGATATGAACACATGAAACTATTTCTGACAGGAATAAGTGAGTGTGATGTAGAATCTGCTGGATGCACGTCCTCATACATACACGGGATGTCAAATTAAATCGGTTCTTGCAAGAATATGAACGAGTTTGAGGCGCCAGAAGCAGATAGACTGACTCACGCTGCAGCCTGCAACCGTTATAAGTCAAAGTTCAACAACGTGATGCAGGCAGAGCCGGGCCACATCGTACCATCCACGGTGGTACCGGTGTGATGTTAGGGGACGATATGGAATCCAAATATCGCGATAAAATTTGAGTGAGTGCCGTAGTTTTCAACTTGTCTCATGCACGTGGAGCGAGACGCATGGCGGCGACCAAAGAGGAGACGAATGCATCGACCGACACAGTAGGGCTGGACCCGGATATCGGGATATTCTGTCATCGTGGTGGAGTCCGGATAGCAATTCTGAGATCTGAATATTCACCTGCCACCCGCCGCTGTTTTCAGACTTGTTTTTTTTTTTTTTTTTTAATTTTACAATTTCCGCCCTCAGAAAAACCTGGGAAGCCATTTAAACGATTAATATCTGCAGAAATAAAACTCCCAGGACAGAGAAAATTAGTTTCCAGATGATTGAACGATTGATTGGCTCCAGCAGAGACTCAAGTTTTAATTAACAGCCCCTGAAAATGGAAAGTGCAAAATTTTCAAACGAGGGCAGCATAAGGTGCCGCGGAAAGTTAATGCCAGTGTATATATGTACAGCCGTGACTGGATGATCTGACACTAAATGTGAAACCTTCTTCTATGTCGGATATCAAGGCTGTCGGATTGTCCAGACGGAGGTCCAGATACGAGGAGGGCTTGATGCTGGAAGGCTCATTAGTTGTTCATTATTGTTCATAGTTGTTATAATAACTAGTAGGGCTGGTCCCAGTAGAACTTTCTGCTCTCTGGATGTTCAGGCCCAATTAATGATG